AAACAAATGTGTCAGGTACTAGGTTATAAGAATTTAATTTTCTTTTAATGACGAGGTACATTTACTTATCACTATAATAGAATAAATATTATATGGTAACATATCTATGGAATGTAGATACAAAAAAAATAAAAAAAACTATCACATTTGGCTTAACCTGAATTTGAGCTTTCAGAACGAAAATAAAGAAGAAGAAATATTTAATTTTTCAGTGCGTTTCTGGTTAGGTAAAACTAAATTGTTAAAATCAACATCTTCACCGATACTTTTGGTGTATATACAGGGTGATTCAGAACTTATCCAAAAAAATTTGGGAATAGATGCGGCATGTGAAATGGAGTCAATATCGTAAAAAAAATTTTTGTAAAATCCTTATAGTTTCCAAGAAAAAGATTATTGAAGTTTTAGTACATTCATCGACTACATAGCTGGACAACTGTAGTCTCTAGCGTCATTTGCAATGCGCGTGGAGAGCCACACGTGGCCTCAGCGACTCAGAATACAGAAATCGTATTTTGCAATCGTCGTTGCAACAGTATTTACCTGTTATCTGTGGTGTTTACAATATTTTTTTAGTAGTTAGTGTCAAAAATGGGTAGTTAGTGTCAAAAATGGTTTGCGTGTATAGCAACTCGGAGTTTTAATTTATGGTGAAGCATTTGTGTTATGGTGAAGCAAGACAACATTTGTGTTAGTTCGTAGAAACCGAGTTAGACGGACCCAATTGTCTTTACACGTCGGTGGATTTTGAACAATTGTTGTAAAATCGGGTAGGTCAATTGATTTTATTATTTAAAAACACAAATTAATTGTATTAATTAATAAAGGCAAAAGCAGTTGAATTTGCCGATATAAAATAGGTGTGATAAAATTCTATTTACATATTTCTTTCCTTGCGAAGGTATTTGTCAGTTTTTATCACACCGCCATGCCGGTCGCATTGTGCAAGGTCAGGTTTTACAGTGGACCAGTTTCAAATGCCGTGCAGAAGTGTATTTTCAAATCATTTTCGAACTGCCCTTTTTGATTTTTTTTTCTTTACAAAATTGTATTTGTAAGGGTCCCCTGTACATCCAGAATTTTTTTTGGATAAGTTCTGAATCGCCCTGTATAAATATGCGAATGGTTTGAGATACTGAAATTATTACTGTTATAACAAATTAAATAGAGACGAACATTATACATAAATATAAAAATCCAATACATTTTTTAATTTCCATCTTAAAACACTATTTATACATACAACCTAAGTTACCTCCTTGTATTAATTAATTGGGTACATTTGTCTTCATCGTAACTATATGTACTATTTTCAATTCAAATCACACAACTCTTCTTCGAGTTCTAACTAAGCTGGAGCTTGCCGTTCTCCATTATTCCAATTTGAGAATGGCTAAGGAGAAATACGAGTGTTTACAAGAGACGGCATAGAATCTTTCTTGAGGCTATTCTGTTCTATCTAGTACAAAGCAACACTTTTGACAAAGATTGAAGCAATTGTTTTTAGGAAAACATACTCATTATATTTGAAGAAAGTGGTGAAAAATGCATAATACACAATAAATTTAAAAGATTTAAGTATCCTAATTTTTTTATGATTGCAGATTTTAGAAATATGGAAAAAACATTTCGGGAAGGCAAAAAACAATGTAACTGGAAAATTAATATTTTCTACATAATCTTTAATGTAATATTATTAGGTATGTGGAATCGCAATACTTCTATCATATTTCGAGAGCAATAAAAATTTTAGAAAATACAACAAATTATTTTTTGATATTAAGTTTTATATTGTTTTCGTAAAGATACTATTAGTTTTCCCATATAATGCTTAAATTATTCTGCCTATCAAACTTAAAATTTGAAGGTACTGAACCACCAAATCAACAAATGAAAAGTTCATCCGGGAGTAGTTTTAAGCTTTCCGAGTTTTATCTCGATTTTGTTTTAATTTTTTCAATTTTGCAGATAATAAAAATAGGAACGCATAAAAGGAATCTATACAGATTATAAGGAACATTGTATATTTATTGATATGCTACGTAGGTTATACAGATGGGCACTGTTTCGTCCCATTACCTTTTTTGTTTATCTAAAATAAGTACATATATTGCAAAACTTTTTTGCAATTTCTGGTTGTTCCGATTTATAACTATGCAAAGCATTAACATAACAAGTAAGAAATTAGTGAAGTTCAAATATCTTTTTTTATATAAGCAATAGGATTGCGTATATTTGGAAACTATTACTTCTTGAGAATTAAACTTTCTAAAAGATGAGCTACGATTTTTTAGATAAAGAGGTTTCAATAATGTGCATATTACTACAAATTTCTCCACTCCATCAAGTCGTTGATTCTAACAAAACTCTTCAAATTGCTTCCTCGCTGATTTTTTAAATTTCTTTGTATTCACTGGAGCAAGTTTCTTAATATTCAAATCTATCTACCACAGAAACATTTCCAAATCTTGCCACATTTGCTGAAATTTGCCAATAATAAAAGTTTCAATCGACTCTTTTGAAATAAATGACTTTGCCGGTTTTGTTTAATTTATTATTATTATTATTTATTTTGCACTAGGATCCTATGAGAACCATTTTTCAGATAGAAGATAGAAGGACGATGTGATTTTTAATAAACCATTTTTAACAAAGCACGTGATCACATTGGATACAAATCGTTACACAACAACGTTCATTATTTTACTTTGGTCTTAGAGTATAAGTAAAAATTGGAACCAATTCAGTTTGAACTAATATCACATATTTGGTCATATTAGAAATTTGTACAAATTTTCAAGAATGATAACTTCATATGAATAAACTTCCGTAAGAAGTCGTATCGAATGTATCCGCCACATTGGCGTACTTCTAATTAAACTTGCAGGGACAGTTTGCGTCGGCAGTTATTCTTGAAAACGATAAAACTGCTCTTGTATTAATAGCATTTGGCCAGAGAAATCTAAATTTGGATTATGAATTTTTATTGACTTGCAAATGAATGAATTCTTATCAGCTAGACAAGTATCAATTTCAATGCAGTTTACTTTGTTTTTCTTATAAAAATTTTAAGATATTTATAAAGGATGTTTGCAGATTCATTATTTTTAAATGAAGTTTATCCCAAACCAAATGTATTTCTACAGCGAAAGGATTTATTGAAAAGTCTTGTAGTATACATTAAAATTTGTGCGTAAAACATTTAGGATTTTGTAGTTTTGTAAGATAGTTTTATTATTAATGTTGAATGTATTTAATAAAATAGTTTGGTTTAAAAGACTCGATTGACCGATTAAACCAGCTATAAAACTATGAATCCTTGAGAATGTCTAGAAGTGCTTTATAAAATATCTATTCAGATCTCTTGTATCCTCTTTTAAAACCTTCTCCTCTTAATAAAGTGATTAAATCGTTTATTAAATACATTACAAATCTTACTACCTTTTAATATATTTCAATAAATCTGAACTGCCTTAAGAAAATTAGGTTATAACATTAGACTAGTGCAATAGTTTCTTAGTTCGGTGACTTTAGTGTCTATAAATAATTGAAATGTATCGACATGCAAAAATCTCATTATACGATGGCAATAAAGTAATCAACATAATGGACCATATTTCGATTTTTAATTGTTGTTGTATTTCTTATCACACTTCACAAAAGTTTTATGTTAAAAAAGGAAAAAGCTTTTGCACCAACCTAATACAGGAAAGGATAAAACAAATTCGGATGCACCGTATATGAATGTTTAAGTTAGAACCTATAAACAAGTGGAAAATAATAATTAATATATTGGTAATTTTGGTAAAAGGGAAATTTAAATAATTTTAGAATTTAATTAATTAACAATTTTAGAATTGTTAACTATTCTCCACAAAAACGAAACAGGTACAACAAACATCAGAACAAAATACAGCCTTCTTATGACGGTTGTGACATAAAACAGTCATAATAAATAAAGATTATAGATTATTATATAAATGGATCTATCCATACGAACATTTAGTTTTTATTGGGATGGTACGAAGTTCAAGTTAATTTATATAGGCCAACAATCTCTCATAGGTAGACAATAAAGCGATTTTATGACCTTCTGACATAAAACGGTTCAGTCATATTCAAGATTATTCTTTAAGTATAAATGGATCTATCCATGCGAATATTTAGTTCTAGCTAGGATTGTATGGATTTATTCAAATTCAAGTTAGTAAGTAAATTTAATGTAATTCTACATATGGAAGTAATTTTATTAATTTATCGTTTAACGTTAGCATCTTTGTTTTCTATTTACTAGGTTTTATAACGTTAATAATAAAAACGATTTTTCCAAAAACGAATATTTTTTATAAAATTATTTAAAATATAATGTGGGGTACCTACTGAGAGTTTAGAGTTAATTTCGCATTTTAACAGTAAACTGTTTGTTGTTTAAAAATTACCAGCATCTTTCAGACGGTTTTCTACGAAAATATCGAAAACATAAAATAATTTCATTATAACCTCACATATTTTCTCGTATGGGTGTAAAACATTGTTGTTTTCCTGCAAGCGACAATAAGTTAATCATTAACAGTTTTAACGATTATTCTTTAAAACAAATTTAACTTTTTATGACACCGTAAAAGCTTACACAAAACTAGAGTATAAGACTAATACTCTTGTTGTAGCACTCTGATCGTTATTTTTTTGGACTTTTTGTGGGTTTATTAGCATCCTATCACAGAAACATAGATCTCTAATAGGTAAACAGTTTTTATGAAAGTCTTGTAGGTTATTAAAATATTTGATTTGTTACTTGTGTAAGAGTCTATTTTATAACTGTAGGATTTTCTCTTATCATTTTTATAAAGCGATGCTAATATTCCCGAAAAGAGGAATAATATATTCAAAAACCCGACCCTCAGCACCGAAGCCGGTCCTTCAAAATCGATGGCTGTGACGTAAGAGTGCGCGACGCCGACGACGCTTCCACCGCCGTCTCGTCAGTTGCGAGCTTTCACCTGTAACCTGACGATGCCTCTTTCCTGGAGGCCCATTTTGCTGCTTTTGGTTTCGATTTGTGTCCTAACTTCAGCAGCAGATCTCTTCAGCAACTCCTTCCTCGTCAGATTCCGGCGAGATGTTGAACAACAAGAGGCCCACACCGTGGCAAAAAGGAACGGATTCGTTAATTTGGGCCCGGTATGTATACACAGCTGTTTTTTAATTAAAAATTTAAAGTTTCGGCCGGACAATATCACGTTTTTATACGAGCGTATCTATCCCCTCAATTTTTTCTATTTTATTCCTTACATACTTATAAAAAATGTGTTAAAAGCACATACACAGCCACGGTCTCCTTGATTTAACTTCACTGAATTAGAAACTTTTTCAAAAATATGTTTAACCTTATTTTTTCACTTTTAACAGAACAAGGGTGTTATGCTTTCTCATAACATTTTTGAATGTTTGTAAATCTTTTGTTAAGGACAAATGTGGTTTACTTATCTGCTATTTTTAGTGCTTTCGTTATCAATATGTCTGTTTAAAGCAAATAGTACACACTACACATATTTGAAAAGAAATGATTTTGTCGTAGTATTATTTCTATACGCATGTCCAACTTATATTACTGAACATTTATATAAAATAAATTATGGTAATTTTCAATCAAATAAAATGAAATATTTAGTTGCCCTGTAGAAACAATTGCACGGAAAAGCTTTTACTATAATTATCTAAAATTAAAAAATATGTTATGTTCAAATTAAATTATTAAAACTTCATACTTTTAAAATAATTAACTTTCACTCGTGTTCCTAGTCATCGCTAACTATATTGGCAAAGATCAACAGGAATGTATATAACAGTATTTCTGCATTTGAGGGATTTTTTTAAGTGGCCTCCTCACACATATTTGTTGTCAAAAACTATACAGGATGGACTGTTTTCATTATCTTTGCTATACCATACAGGATGGGCTGCTTTACATTTTCTTTACTAGCTCAAACTGAAATATGAAATAGGTTAAATTAGAAAAAATGCGTTTCTCTCTTAATCATTTTTCAAGGCAAAACAAAAAATAATAATTTTGCTTACAATAATAACTCCTATACATTTCGCTCCACGTAGAAACAAGAAGTTAATAATGATTTTTTTAAGAAAAAGTGATTATAAAATGTGTCATATAAATGTGATGAAAAGAAAAGTTTTACTTAAAAATTTGAAAATTCAACTCATGAAGAAGCTTTATTATAATAATTTGAATTTATTCAATGCCTTTAAAAATTTGTGATTGTACAAAAAATACAGCATGCTTTGTTGACTTTCCCCTCCGTTTTGAGTTACATGGATATTTAGTTTGCATTAGAGCCTTTCTCTGAGTACATTTCATTTTGCCACTTGTGAAAGAAACTTAAAAATTAATAAAACAAATAACCTTTGTTCTAAAAAGATTAGTCAACGGTTGTATTTGTGAAACTATTTTTCACAGACAAATAAAAATACTACGCGTTTCACTTAGATAACGTTAACTAAACGAAGTTTTATTTGTTTGACTTTTGTAATACAGAATACATATTTCAGAATAAAAACACCGTTGAGTGATCCTCTTGACACAACGATTTAATTAATTTTTCAATGTTTCTACAGGTAGCAAAGTATTTAAGTGCCTGAATAAGTCTATGCTAGTAATAAACAACTTCAAACAAAATTTAATTAGAAGCAGGAGATCGAGAAATTCACGAGGGGGTAGAACAAATTATTTTAAGTAACAGGTTTGATAAGGACATAGGTCGCAGATAGTTCCGCTTTCAGTCGTCATTACAGCAACAGAATCTTGAAGCCATTGAATATTTTGAAAACCCGATTAGTGCATTTCTAATGAGATTATAAGAATATTATATTTTATTCGAAGATTAGCCTTATCTGAGTGAGATAAGATTTAAAAAATTTTAAAATGAACTCACCCACAGCTAACGTAGAAATTTTAGTTTCATTATACGAGAAGATTGAAAATTTCTATGCCTATGGTTTTTTGAACATTTGATACATCACATCGCATCAAAAAATAATCTATAAAAAGTTATACACAGTTTTAGACTATTTGCAATTTATTCTATGTTGTAAGCTTATTTTAAAATAATTTAAAAAATGGGAATAAGGAATAACTACCGAATTTTTCGAATGTTTGGTAGAGTCTTGGTCTAGTAGTACTGACATCCTTTATCTCCGTCAATGATTGACGTAATTTTAAGCCAATTTACCGAATTACTGCTTCCAATTAGAGAAATCAGTGATTCAAGTTTCATCAGACGTTATAAAAGATATTTCAAAAAGTGTAGGTAATATTATCTTATAATTTCAACACCCTTTATCTCGAAAACGAAGCGTTGTACGACACAACATTCGAATGCAACTTTTTGATTGTATTAAGAATGAAGTAATAAAAATTGAAGATCTTATTTACAATTTGTTAAAACACTGTTGATTTGAATTGAAAATAGATGTCTAGGAATTGAAAATATGCAATTATGGCGTTCAAGAATACCTTAACATTTTTTGTCATAAAAAATAATTATTTGACTGACGGAGTAATTGCTAACAAGGGAAAAAAATTGCGACATGGTTTATTTCAAATTTAGATCTCAAACGAAAACAAAGATGTAATAAAGAGAGCATGATTATATTAAATGAAAAATGAGCGCGTGGGTTCCAAGACTTAAAAGATTTTTTATATTATGTTTGTTAAAAATGTAGACAGTGAAAGTTAATCCGACTTTTTAAGAATAAATTACTCATGAAAGAAATTGATTTTGTATTTAATAATATGAGGAGACTGTAATGTTCAACAAGTAATCTCTTTTTTTGTTTAATCGGTGTTTTTCCATACTAAAACCAAAAATAAATCTAAAAAATGTTTATCTCACACCAAGAAAGTAGATAGATGTTACTTATTTTACTGAAAACACGGTTATCAAAGCATATTTAGTATGACTGAAAATTAATTCTTAAAATATGATAGAATGAATGAATGTTATTAAAATTGAAATAGATGAGACAAAAATCATAAGATTTCGAATATTTTCTATAATTATTCTCAAAATTTTCAATATCAAAATGAGTTTTTTTTTTTGTTTTATTTATTTATATTTCACAAATATATACGGTATCACATAATATTTTTATTATTACTCACCCCGATCCTGAAGATGCTTTAACTAACAATTATCAAAAATCGGATAATATTTCAAAATAAATTGGACTCTTTTAGATTTGGTCACTAATTTTTTATTTCTAAAATTATCTTTCTATAATACATTATAATACTCATTGGTTTCGCAAGGTATATTATTTAATTTATTGCTTTTGGATTAAAATTTATCGTTTCTGTTTCAACGTAAAAATCTAGGAGGTACTGAAAATTACTGAAGATGAGGAATTAGCCTATTACTGGTACTGATCGACATATGCTTTACAGGTTACATCTCACCCATATTCGAAACATATCTGCAGATAGACATCCATATACCTAAATCATTTTTCGTTAGTCTCTCTCTAGCTATTTATTTCTGGAATAATGAATTAAAAGCCATACAAAGATACTGTTACACTTGATCAACTGATTAAAATTCACTATGACAAGCGTTTGCATAATTTATTTTGTAAGGCGTAATAAAACGTAATATCGGTAAACCAAATTATAGTTTATATGAAATAAATTAATGGAGAAAGGATGAAAATACGTAATCAGTGAGATAAAATTGAGTGCCCCATAAAAATTTATTGCAGTTTTGGATCATCGGATACCTATATACGAAACATATTAGTAATCGATATATCTACTTATTGACAAATATACGTATATAATATATGTGGCATTAATTTGTCTTACAATGTTAAAGACAAAATTATGAAATATACACTGTCCACTTTCTGTCCAGTTCGTTTATTCTGTCTTCCTGAACTTCATATTAATTTATCATTTTCTAACTTATCCGTTAATTTGTTGTAGCATTTATTAAAGACCTATATCAAAATATATGTACAATATCAAATCATTCTAATGATTTTAGAAAATTTGTATTAGTGCTAATGTGTTATGTAGTTTTTATATAGGTAAATTAGTAGCATCAGAGGTTGGATTTTTTATGTATATTTTTATCGGCAGCAAACAAATATTTTATTTTTTATTTACAAAATAAAGTCTTTTAATATATTATTATTAATTACTTATTTATTATTTATTCAATTTGAATTCTAAATCTTGAAAAATAGTCAATCAAATATTATTTGAATTTAAATGTAATTTAGTAGTCTTAACTTTTTCTAAACTTTTCATTATGTGAATTCATACATGCTCAATGAATATTTGGATACACTAAATAATAAATATGTACTTTCTATTATTTTAAATATTAACAAATTACTAGTTTATATAAGGAAATAGAATGTATGACTTCAATTCAATTATTTTGAATTATCTTAAGAGTTTTAAAGTAAAGTATAATAGCTAATAATTGAAATATATAATAAAAAAAAATGTAATACATTAAATATTAAATTTGTAGGTATAGCTATCAAACATCTTTATATGAAAATAGTAGTAAACTACAGTCAACATTAGATCTGAATGTTGAAAAGAAGTGTATTTCCTGTAGCAGTACTAGATTTGATTGCTATTTTAAATCGATATCAATCAAGCAATTGAAAACATATTTCACATGAAAAAGGATATTTCATTAAAATAAAATTGCATGTAAAATTTACTATAAATGTTTGTATTATATTTTAATTATCAGGAATATATTTAGTACAGTCCGTACGATATTTGTTGAGATAAAATTCGAAGAAGACCCCTGCATCACTTTCTTGGAATTAACCGCATTCCACACACGAAGTAGAAAGACAATGGCGAAAAATTTCAAAGCACGCCCCCGCGGTGGTAAATTGTTACAGTAGTTCCGATAACAGAACCTTATTAGCTTATTCTTTTCTTGGAATTTTATCTCAACAAATATTATACGGACTGTAATGGATACAGCGGCGGATGGAGAAAATTGAAATGGTTGCATTTTTATAAACATGTGAAGCATCTTATTCGCTTCCCGTAAACGGAAATTTAACAATGTATTGATGATATTCTATCCAAATCTTGGTCTGCCGGAGAGTGTCGAATGACGATTTAGTTCTATGCGTAATTA